TTGCTCATATATATATATATATATATATATATATATATACAGCATGGATACACTAGGCTTCTAATATAAAAGTATGTGCGTGTCCGACACTCATGCACACTTCACACAGTCTTACTTGTGCGGTTTCTGTCATTCTTTGCTCAAATTCTGTCTTTGCAGTGGCATATTTCTCCACATATGACTTATAGGTCTCAGTGGCTTTCTTGACCTTCAACCCAGCCTACAAACAAACAAACAAACAAACAAACAAAACAGACAGAGAGACATTTAAACATTTAGACACCTTAGAAGACGTGTTTTGAATTATCCTTTGTATCTGCTAAATTTCTCTAATATCTACTACAGACACAATTCCTTTAGGAGCTTAAGTCGGTCGATGAATGGACATTCCTACAAGGATTGATCTGGCAAACTTTCAAGTATTCAGTAGTACTTGGCCTACCATTCATGTATGTACGAGTCTGTATGTGTACCTTGTCCAGGTCTCTCTGTGTGGCCCCCTCTTTGCGCATGCGTTCTTGCTCTAGTGTTTTGCTGATGTAGTTCTCTTTGCTCTTCTGTAAGGCCTGAGACACACTTTGGATGGTCTGCACAGCCTCCAGAGTGGACGCCACCTCCTCCTTTGTCTACAAGAAAGAGCTTCAGTATTATTCTCATCTTTAAAAAAAAATGTAATCTCCACAGCCCTAAATGTCTTGCTCTCAAATTTTGTATAATGGGCATTTGATGCATATGCTTAAATTTGAATGTTTTTCAACTGTGAAATTTGAATTGAATTTCTATCATTTAAATTGGACCCTATGAACTAACTTCAAGGACGAGGCTGCCACCCATCTAACTGGTAACTGTTGTTCAATTTTCTCTATAAACCACGGTTGTATTATTTGTACTGCCTTTAATTTATGCTGGCAGGTGAAATGTGCTTAACTGTAATTAAATTACCATCAATAAGCTAAATCAGGCTTAATTTTTATGTACGTAAAACAATTTATTTTCACACACACACACACACACACACTCAGAGTCTTACCCTAGTTGAGAGCAGTTGCTGGCAGTCTTGGCCAGTTTGGTCATTGATCTTGAATATGCCTCCTCTATGGTGGCTCTGTGACAAGAGGCGAGAAAACCATGTGTGAATAATCAATCAAATCCAAAATGACAGGCCATCTAACACTGATTATTATTTAGAATAAAAAAATCCTTTAAACAACACTTTGATCTCACAAACCTTTACACATACTTGTAAACAACAGTTACCATAATTAATTGTGCTTAAAAAAAATTGATTTAAAGAAAATCTAAGTGTTACTCAATGCAAGTTGCACAAATGACAGATACACCTACATATATGCAAACAAAGGCCTCTGATTTTGTCCTGTCTTGAATCAAAAGAAGACATGAACTAAATCAAACAAGAAGACATACTGCCAAATTGGCCAATATTAAAAACACATATTAACACACACATATTGAAAGTGTCATGCTTACAAACACTCTTAATTTGTCATGATCTTAACCTTTTGATTCAAAAGCATGCGTAAATGTTTGAAATTAGTTTTATATAAATTGTTTTATAACAAATATAAATTGTGCCTACACAGGAATTTTACTAAACTAAAAAGATTTGTTGGTTTAAAAAAGCAGAAGGAAAAGCAGTTTGTGCTCAGCAAACGTGAACTCATTCAGTACTGTTTAAACAGCATTTTAGGATGTTGCTTGGGGTATCTGAAAGAAACCCACAGTGTTTTGGTCATTTCATAGTTCGGATGATTTAACTATTATTCTATAATGTGAAAACCTGTAAAACAAAAAGTCTGTAAGTGCATCCATAACTTCGATTGGTAATGTATCCCTATAGACATTTGCCCAGAGTTATTTGAAAATATATTGCTATGGTGTTCTTTTGCTGTGTCAAAAGAGAAAGTAGTAGTAGTAGTTTCACTCTGACAGAGACAACCTCACACCGTGTCCAGAAGGGGGAGACAGACACGCTCAATTTGTGGCTAAACAGCTGCCAATATCTATCATCATCCTCTGAAAAAAAAAGTATGTGGAAAATAATGTGTTTTTTTAACCTTAAACCGCATAAACACATTTCATTACACCAAATACACAAAATAATGTTCTTTTTAGCAACATCATATGACCCCTTTAAAGTCTTAGTAATTTTGTTGTGGTTTCTCATTTTTATTATTTTTAATACCTCTATTTGGCTTTAATTTATTTTTATGTCAGCTTTAGTTTTAGTAATTTTAGTACTTTAACTTATAAATACAATAAACTTTTATTTTATTTCGCTTAGCAGAAG